CGCAGATGAAGCTGCAGAGAGCTGGGAGGGCTCCCCAGAGAGCCCAGCACCCTGCAGCTGACTGGAAGCCAAGAACCTCCACCCACGGCCCTGGACAGTCCTATAAAAGCTGTGTCTTCACAGCCCCAGGTGTTTTACAGGATGACCTCATTTATTACCTTGCTCGTCACAGGAAATGATGTTTATCTAATCTACCATTCTTTCAGGATTTTTTTTTTCCCCTGCCACATCTGGCTTCTTACATTTCTTACAGCTCAATTCCTCCTTGCACCAAAACAAAGGAGAAATGGCACTGCTGCTGTCATGCCGGTGTCCCAATCCCACCAGTCCCAGCAGCCTGAGAAGAAGCTGAGAAGCTTCAAAACCTGGAGCTCGCGTGCGGTGGCGAGTGGATCTAAGGATCTCGGTCTTAATCTCCCTCCTTTGCTGCATTCCTTAGTAGTGACAGCTACTTCTTGCAATATTCCTGACTGTGGGCTCTGAGGCACAGCTTTCCATCTGCCTGTCCAGTATCCAGCCAAACAGGTCCACATTCCTGAGCAGAAACGCTAGCGCTGCCCCTCGGAGCGGCTCGAAAGCCTCGCATGGAAGCTGGAACAAGTCACAAACATGAGGGAGGGCGGCAGCAGCCAGGACCAGATCCACAGAAATGAGGGACAGTGGCAGCACCAGATCCACAGAAATGAGGGACAGTGGCAGCACCAGACCCACAAACACAAGGCACAGTGGCAGCACCAGGTCCCACTGCCCCAGCACGGGGCCCGGGGACGCGCGCTGTGCGCGCCTCGGTGCCAGCGTGAGCCCACGCTGGTCACACCCTGCTCTGTCTCTACTCCAGGTTGTAAAATGCCACAGCCAAAACTCGTGCCCGCGAGCGGGTGCACGGGCCCCTGTGTCTCACCCTGCTCCTGCTGCCACAGGGCCCCAGCTCGCTCCTGCCCGCTGCCAGGGCTGCTCCCGCACCCCTGCGTGTCCCCAGGTGCCAGGGAAAGAGATTTGTATTTTTCTTTGTAATAAAAAGGCTCTCCCAGAAGCCTTCTGCTGATCCCAAAAGGATGTGAAAGCAATAAAACCCCTCCTTATTTTACAACCAAGCTGCAGGATTTTTTGCTACTGAGCACAACGACCTAAATGCTTGATTTCATAACCAGAAGGTCACACCCTGCGCCAGGAGTTGGGACTTGCTGAGTCCCCGGTTTTATCTCTGGGGGGTCTCTCTCACAGCCAGACCTCGGTAGCTGACCTGGGTATCTAAACATCAGGGCAGCAGGTGAGTGGAGCAAAAAATTCCTGAGCTGCTGTAGACTAAAGCAGCCAGAGCCCCAGCTAAAGTTTTTCAGAGCTGATTTTAATGTTTCCCAGTCTAATATTTCCTGGTCTTATATAAATGCTTGGAAGGGAAAGTAAAATTAATAATAATAATGATAACGATGATGATAATAATAATAATAATAATAATAATAATAATAATCCCAACCACAAACAAAACAACAACAAAAGAAAGGCAAAGAAAACAATTTCTGAAATACTGCTGGAAAAAAAGGGAGAATGAACAAATGGGGGTACAAGATATTCATAAATGCTCCGCTGCCCTATCCAAGATTTAATCCATTTAATTCCCAAACGAAATCTATCACCCCATTTGTCATGACAGCACAGGGGAACAACTCATGCTCCGTTTTTCAGAGCTAGCACATCTCTCCCTGCTCCAAGTGAAATCCCAGCTCACACACCGCACCCCACAACAAACGGGACCCCCTCACCGGGGGTTTCTCGGTGCCCAGCCTCCAGAGCCCTGGGGATCACCACGGCGATAACGAACCAGAACCAGCCCCGAGGGCAAAGGTGGAAATGAGAATTTTTTACGCCGGTTTCCAGCCGGGATCCGGCTCCCCGCGCCGCGATGCGGGCACCGCGCAGCCACCGCCTGGACTGGGGGATGGGGGTCTCGGGATGGCGGTCCCGGGATGGGGGTCCCGGGATGGGGGTCCCCGCTTTTCCCCTCCACTTGTTTCATTCGGGGTTACCTGCAGCCGAGGGGCCGGAGCGCTGCGGGCTGGGGAAAACTCTCGGAGGGGAGAGGGTGGAGATGCACCGCGTCTCCGAGATGCCCGCAAAATCCCTGGAATTATATTAACGGCTGGAAGTTTATTTGGGAAGGAAAAGGAGGGAAAACAGTCAGGGATGCTCCCAAGTAGCGCTCCGAGGCTCCGGGCAGCATCTTCCCCGCGCCGGGCAGCGGGGGACATCGGCATGTCCGGGGCCCGTCCGGGCTGGGGACACCGGGAGCGACCCCCCTGCCGCGGGGATGGCCCCGAAACCCCGGGATAGCGGAGGGGACAGGCTCGGGGACAGCGCGGGGCTGCGGGCTCTTCCCTCCCGCTCCGGGCTCCTTCCGACCGGGGACTAAACGCGACACCACGGATGGGAGTTAAAAGGAGGTTTGGGGGTTTGGGGCAGGCGGATTAATATTTTGTTGAACCAAGGCAATAATATCTGGGCAACTAATTAGGCGAGATAAATCTGTTTTCACACGCAAAGATTTCTATCAGGTTTCTGTCCGACGGCCATTTCATTCTGGGATTAATCGGTATTTGGGATCTCGGTGCGATTTAGGACAAAACTGCGCTTTTTAGGTTTACCCTCGCTCCTTTCAGAGAGGGGGTCCTCGAGCCCTTCTGCCCAGCCGCTCCCTCCGGCTCGTTCTGCCCGGGACCCGCCGGGAGCTGCCTCAGATGGTTTTAATTTAATTTTATTTTTCCTGGGGTGTCATTCACCCGCGGGGGCCCGGGCTCGGCTCCGGCCCCGCTGGGGCTCCAGAACACAGCTCAGAGCTGACAGAGCCAGCGGAGGGAGAACGACCACATTTTATACATTCTAAAAAAAAATTAAATAAAGCTGAATGTAAAGGAATTTATTCCCGGGCCGTGCGGAGGGCAGAGGGGTTTGATCCGGGATTCCCGGCTGCAGCCTCCATAATTCCTCCGATTTCTTTAGAGATGAACTCGCCCATTTGGGAGCTTCCAGGGGCAGGGAAAGGGGAGCGTGGCCATCGGCTCCGGTCCCCATCCTCCGATCCCTGGCAGCGGGGTGGGTGACAGAGCGGTGCCGGGACGGAGCCCCCGCTCCCAGGGAGCCCCGGCGGCTCCGTCCCGCCGCTTCCAGTGCGGCTGTACAACTCCCCCCACAAACACGCTCTCGGCTTTGGATTTATCGATTTCTCCAGCAAACTCGGAGCTTGGCGCTCCAAACACAGGAATAATAATAGAAAAAATTAAAATAATAATAAGGAGGGCAAAAACAGGGACGGAAAAGATATATTAATATTAAAAAATTTTAAAAATACCCAAACAACAACGGGCGTGGAAGAACAAGTGGCCGTGAGCACAGGGGCTGCGGTCAAGCTTTTTTGCACCGTTCCTGCCTTCAGCCAAAAATATTTTAATTTTATTTTTCCTATTTTTTTTTTTCTTTCCAAAACTAGAGAACTAGAGAATCTCCAAGGGCAAAAACCCCAGACACTAAACAACGACAAATCCTCCTGACAGGAGACAAAAAATTCTAAGTAATGGCGCTTTTGGAAAAAGGAGGGGAAAACCCCGCAATGAACTCCAACCGAACTTCCAGACAAGCATTCCCACTGCGGGATATTTCCCGAGCGTTCCGGGCGCTCCAAGCTGCGGAGGAAAGGTCGGTGCCGGCTCACGCACCCCTCAGCTTCTTGCAACCATTCCTCACTCCCGAATAGTTAATGAAACGCCTCTCCAGCGTTCTGATTAAAGCTCAATTAATGCGGGTCATTAATGTCCCGCTGGCAGCCGCGTGTTCCCAGAACAGCCTTTTCTAGGGAAAGGGGCTGCGGGGCACCGGGACGAGCGGTGGCAGCTGGGGAAGAGCCGCACGATCGGGAGGTTTTTCATGCGGTTACCGGGGACCGGACCAGCGCCGGGACTGCGGGGCCGCAGCACCCACCGGCCCACGTTACCGAGCCATCCCGGTGGCTGCGGTCCCGTTCGCACCGGGGCTCGGCGGTTAAACGCGTCCTCCCCATCCACATATTTCTGTAAAAAATCGCGGGGAGAAGCCAAGAGCAGTGCTGGAATATTCCATAGTGGGGATCGCCCCGAGCACCGCACCGGACGCCCCGCTCCTCGCTCTCAAAACGCCCCGGAGGAAAATTTAGTACAGAAATATTTTAGGGAGTTGAGCTGTTCTTCCCACCGGCTCCTTGGGATGCGGGGGACTGGTCAGGGTGCGGGGCAGAACCGGACGCGGGAGATCTCAGGGATCGAACGGGACCTCTGCCCGCAGCCCCGATCCCCGCACCGGCCCCGGAGGGAAAGGCTGCTCCTCCGGTCCCGGAGCGAAGCCCCGGTTCTGGAGCGGCAGAGAGGGGTCTCCGCAGACCCGGGTTTTGCCGAGGTGGGGATGCGGGACGCTGCAAGGACGGGCAGCACCGGCCCCAAAGCCGCGCCACTTCCCGCCTCCGTTAAACGCGTCCTTCCCCTCGGTACCGGTCCCGCCGACGGGGCCCGATCCGCCGCGGCCCGGGGCGGTGTGATGCGGTCCGCGGCCCGTGCTGCCTCCCCCGCCACCGGCGCGGGGCTCCGACCGGGGGGCGGCGGGACCGGGAGCACCGGGAGCTGGCGCCGAGCGCCGCCGGGGCATCCCCGGGCTTTCCACGCAAACCGTACGCGGCCGCCGGCGGGGTGAGCCCCGGGGCTCCCCGACAGCAGCGTCCGCCCGTCCGGGCCCTTCGGTACCGGGAAGGAGCGGCGGCCGCGGTACCGCCCGAGGGAGAGCAGCGGGCCGGGGGCGGGCGGGCGCGCTGTCCCGCCGGGACCCGCCGCTTTCGTTTCAGTCTCGGCGGGGACAGCAGCGAGGCCTTCCCGACGGGCGGGGGGCAGCCCCGCGGGGGGACCCGACGCTGGGGAGCCCCGAGGGCAGGAGCGGGGCCCGGTCCGAGGCCGCTTTCCACGGAGCCGCCGCGCTTTTCTTACCTTTCTTGATCACGGACTGATCGAGCAGGTTCATCCCGCCGTCGTCCACGGCCTGAAAGCACCGAGGAAAAGCCGTCAGCCGGCTCCGGGCACCGGCTGCCCGCGGTGCGGGGACGGTCCGATCCCCCCGCTGCCCCCGGCCAGAAGGAATTCTGAGGGCACCAACGAGCCCCAGCAAAGGGAATCCCCGGCCCGGTGTTTCTGTTTGCCCGGGGGTACGGACGCCGTGGGGCCTGACTTGTCCCGGCCTGGAGTCCCCGGTGGCACAGGCAGAGGGACCCGGCCCCGTCCCCGCGCAACCAACCCACCCCGGGCACCCTCCCGCCGTCCCTCCGTACCTGGATATCCTCGAGGCCGTGGTGGCCGAGGCCGTGGAGGCCCAGCGGGCCGTCGGCGAGGCCGTGGCTGCCGTCGGGCAGCCCGTGGAGCAGGCGGGGCACGGCGGGGTACTCGCGGCGAGGGTCGAGCCCCAGGGCGCGGTGGGTCTGCGAGAGCAGCCCCGGCTCGTCCTGCCGGCCGCGCTGCGGGGGCCAGGCCGGCTGCTGGTGCTGGTGCAGGGGGCTGAGCGCCGCGTACGGGTCCGCCAGGTGAGGGTAAGCGGGCTCCTGGCCCTGCGGGTAGGGCAACGGCGGCTGCGGGTACGGCGGGGGGAAGTAGGGCGGCTGGAAGTCGGCGGCGGGCGTGTGGCAGAGCGGCGGCGCCGAGCCATAGGGCGCCTGGTTGAGCGAGGGCAGCTGCGGCAGGCGGGCCCCGGCCGGCGCCCCGGGCAGCCCCTCGGCTCGGTCCTGCGGCGGCGAAAACAGCGGCGGTGAGGCGGGCACGGACCCCCGGCCGCAGTCCCCGACCCCCCGTCCCGTCCCGTCCCGCCCCACCGGGCTCGTCCCGCACTCACCATGCCCGGGTAGCTGTGCACAAGCATCGGTGCGGGCCCGCGGCAAGCCCCGGGCGGGCCGGGCCCCGGGGGTGCCCCCGTCTCCGCCCCTCTATCCCGCCGGAGCGGCGTCTCCCATCGCCCGCCCGCTCCTCTGCGCCGGCCCCGACTCCATGCACGCCAGTTATAGCGGCGGGGGCGCGCCCGCCGCCCCGGGAGCGCGCGTCAGAGCGCGGGGACGGGGACGCGCCGCCCGCTCCCGCGGGGCCCCGACGGCTCCCGACAGCGGGCGCGGCGGGACAGCGGCGGGGGGGGGGCGGGGCGGGGGGCGAGGGGCACCCGCCGCCCCCTGGGAGCGTGGCTGGTGCTACCCCCGCGCCGTCGGGATGCCCCGGTCCCCTGTCGCACGGTCCAGCCCGCCCTCCCCCCGGTGCCACCCCGGGTCCCCTGCCCCGGGCCTGAGGGTCCTGCCGCGGAGCGCCCCGGGCCGCACCGAGCGAGCCCCGAGGGTCGGGAGAGCCCAAGAGCGCGGGCGGGCTGCGGGGCCGCGGAGATGCTCTACGGTTTGACTTTATTAGCCCGAGCCGGGTGCGGAGCCCCTCCGGGAGCGCTGCGAGGGCCCCGGCGGCAGCTGCGACCTCCCGGGAGCGCGGCAGGAGCGGGGCCCGGGGCCGGTCCTGCCGGGAGAGCTCGGGGCTCCTCCCGGGGCGCTTCACCCTCCTCCCCGACGGGGAGCGGGGAGCTGCATCCCGGACTGGGGACAGCGACAAGTGTCTGGGGGTGCTCCGGGTCTGGCTCTCTGCCCGAAGAGATGGACGGGAGAACGGGCGCCGGGTGCAACAGAGCCGGGGGAGAACGGGGAGCACCGACGGGCAGCGTGCCTGCCTCTCCGCCCTCCTCCATCCCTCCTTCCCTCCGCCTCTCCGCCTTCCCTCCGCCTCCCCATCCCTCCCTCACTCTCTGTTTGAGCCCTCCCTCCGGGGCAGGACGAGGCACCGGGCACCAGCGGGGCGAGCCGGGCAGACGGCAAGCGGCACCGAGTGACCCCAGTGACATCCCCCCGTCCCTCCGATGTCACGGCCACGCAGGTGCCACGGCGGAGCGGCGATGCCCATCCCCACGGGCACACGCACACCCCCGGCCGCTCGCAGCCCGGCACACACTCGCGGCTCCCGGACACCCTGGGCGGGCTGTGGGGTGGCGTGTCACCGCGGGTCCGCGCGGTCTCACCGTGCCACCCGCAGGGTGTCGGCTGCCCGTGGCTGGGCGGGACGTTCCATTGGCAGCGCGTGTTTTACGCGGAGCGGAGCACAAACCCTTCACCCCCAGCTGCAGCACGCCGCGCTGTGTGAGCGACATCAACAAACACAGCCCCACACTGCAGTTAATTTAATTCCACTCTTCCCGCCCCGAGCTACAGCTCCCTTCATTTTCATTTTTCCTCTGAATTCCCACAACTCAGACCTCTTTGATTTCCAGGTTTAATTAACAATGCTCATTAAATGAATTTTTATTCATTTCTTTTAATATTACCCAGCCACCTGTCTTTAGGAGGCATGGGCTGATCGTTTATTCTAATTTATTTCTGTTAAAGATGGCATTTAAGGGTGGGAGGAGGGATATGAAGAGGTATAGAGGGTTGATCCATTCAAATCTCTTCATCCCCCTCAAATGCTCTTCAAGGACGCTGCTCCTGGAAGTTCTGTATTTATTTTCCGCCAGATCCATTTCATTTGCTAGGAAAAATTGGATTGGACATGCTGTATTTTGCAGTTATGTTCCAGTTCATTCTTAATGTCCCTCGCTCGTCTAGTGCGTATAATGTCGAGCCTTTATTCATCTGAAAGAGGTGAAACTGTGCAAAATCCAGGCAGGAAGGGCTCTGAGTCAGCCTGCACAGGACAGCAGGCGAGCAGGAGGATGCTCCCTTGCAGCAGTTTGGAGGGAAGCTGTGTTTCCACCCAAAAGTGAGACAGAGCAGAGGAAACCTGCAGCACTGACAGACAAAGGGAAGGAAAAACAAAAGGCAGAGCTGTCCCACTGCCCCTCACAGAACATGCTGGGTGAACTGGGGTCGTGGGAACACACCAGGCTGGGGCAGTGGGCCAGGCCAGCCTGGAGCTGTGGGGCTGTAGGGCAGTGGGGGAGTGTTGTCCTCCCCAGCAGTGCTCAGGAAGGAGAAAAGGGATCTTGCACCAGACTCTGGGCTTTTGGAAACCCCCAGGAGCTACCCTGGCCTGGCACCTTCTCTCACCTTTTCTGGGAGAACAAGCAGCACCTTCCCAGCCCTGATGTCCCTCCCAGCAGCACCCTCAGAGCCCTACAAGAAGCAGAATTGTCCTTGCAAGATGTCCAAGACCCACCTGAGTCCTTCAGTGCCCCAGACCCTCTGTACAGCACCTGTCTGATGAGGGCAGACCAAACCCTGGGCCTCTCATGGACAGGAGGCACTCATAAAGCCACCAGTGCTGATGATGAACAGTTATTCACTTTTACTGCTGTCCCAGGCAGGGCCCAGGACTGTCACACAAGGGGTTCTCAACACACTCTCCCAGCAGCTGCCTGGTTTTTTAGTGGTTCAACCTGGCCAGGAAAATTGCTGGGGTCACCTGAGCACAGGAGGCTCAAACACAGCTCCCTGCTACCTGCTTTTTAGCATCCCTGTTTAAGGACCACAAGTTCAGCTGTGCTTGTGTTTTGCTCTGTCAAACATCCTTTGTGTTTCCTAACAGTGATGTGGTCCTGCTGAGGACCTCAACACGAGCTGCTCCCTCACGCCCCAGCTTCAGGGAGCATCTGCTGTGAATCTGGGCAAGGTCTCCACCCCAGGGACCACTTCTTGCACATGGATCCAAGCCAGGAATCTCTGAAAAACTGGTTTTGTAACAAAGGTCCCAGAGCTCCTTCCCAGGAGATCCCCAGCACTGCCAGGAGTGTGTGAGGGGCTTGAGGCAGCAACTTCTGCTCCTGGGGGTCAGCAACAAAAGGACTGGTGGAGCAGGGTGATGAGAGCACTGAGACTGAAGTATGTGAGCAGAGCTCTTCCTTAGCCAAAGATGAACTAATTCTTCTCCAGAAGCTCAGCTCCCACCAACACCTCAGGGAAATACAGGCTGCCTCTATTAATTCCCACATTCTCTTCTCAGGAGTGTCCTTGCTATGGAGGAGCCAGGCAGGGCTCTGGGGAGATCAGGGACCCTGCTGAGGGGTGGGCAGGGAGTGTGGCAGCCCCCTTGCTCCTCAGGCCTCCACTCTGAGCACCCCTGCTGCATCTCATGGCAGGAGAGAGGGGCTGCGCTGGGTTCTGGCAGCACAGCAGCCAAATAACATCCTTATGAAATATTTAATTTTATTGCCAGTGCTTTTGGGGTGAGATGAATAAATGCTGTAAGATAACGTATACCATGGTCAGGTTTGCAATGGCATTATGATATTTAAGCTGTCAAAGAGAAACAGAATGTGGAGCTGCTCCTCTGGGGCCCTGTCCATTTTGTTGGAGCACAGTGAACAATCATCTTGCTCCTGGAGAGCTTGTCCTGGTGTTGGAAATGCAATGGGAGATAAAGCACAGTTTGCTTTGGGTGTTGCTGGCTGCAATCCCACTCTGTGCTGGGATCTCAAACCCTGGCAGAGAGGGGATGTTAGATGATGCCACATCCACCTCTCTGGCACCAGCTCATCAGTGCCCGTGGATGCCAACTGCCAGGGGCAGAACCTGTGGTTGGGCTTGCAAAGCTTGGGGTGGCTGAGGACATCCTGCAGCCTTTGAAGGCTTGGCCAGGCTGCCAGGGCACCATCTCCCTCGCGTGGGCTGAGCCAGCCGGGCGTGCTGGGGCCTGTGGACTGGCACACATGGAGCCAACGGAGATGCCCACGTGGTAGGAGGCTTCCAACAGCCCCAGTGCCCTCCCCTCCTGAACATGCAGTGCTCATGCTGCTAGCACTCAGTCTTGGGGAGACAAAACAGTCTTTTTGGGGGTGCTCTGTCCAAGAATGTTTGGAAAGTGCCCTGGGACGAGAGAGCAATGATACTGCTCAAGGAGCTCTGCCCCTCCACTGGCATTCAGGCTGGTAACATCCCAGAGCAACGTGGGTGTCTCACCCCTTCCACTGTCAGCTCAGGAGCTGGGAGGGGCTCATGAGGAGCGTGTTTTGTTTCAAGCAAGGAAACAAGCACATGACAAGATATCAGTGTCTCAGGGAGGCTCCAGCTCTGGCAGGGCACAGACGGTCCTGCTCACACCTGAGGGGACTTTACACCAAGGAGTGTGACAATGAAGGGCAGATGCTCCTCTCCAGGCACCTGCTGGTGGCCAAACCCCTACTCCCTAAGATGGGGGAGGATAAGAATGGGCTCTTGGTTTGCTCCCAGTAGCCTCAGGAAATTAAAGACCAGCAACCAAAGGCTCCTGGGTTAGGACTGTGCTAGTGCTGAAACTGTGGGTGCAGGCTGGATCTCTGGTCAGGTGCTGGAGCTCCAACCACTGCCCACGGGAATGAACCACGGCCAAACCAGATCAGTCACCCACAGCAAGCCCAGCACTGCACTGGGACAGCAGAACATCCTCCTGGTGATACAGGTCATATCTCTCATTAGCACTAATTAGTGGCTGTCATTAAAGGGAAGCCCACAACCCTGACCAGAGGCAAGAGAGCATACAGGACTGGGAAGACCTGAAGGTAAAGGCTTTGAGGGTTTGGGTGTTTTTTCTGCCACTGCATTGTATTCCTAGCTTTTCCTGCTGGTGTGTCCCTGCGGTGCAGGGATGTGTTCCCGGCAGGCTCAGGAGCCTCTCCCAGCCCAGCTCCACAAAGTTCTGCTCTTTTCCAAGGCCAGGAGGCTCATTTACCAGTTTGGTAAATTTGGCTCGCACCACTCTGCTGGCAGCAACTGTCTTTGTTCCAACTTGCACTGGCTGCTCAGGGCTGAGCTGAAAAGATCTAAAGATACTTTCCCTGTGCAGCAGCCTCCTCTCCAGTTGTGTAAGACACTCGCTCTAATAAAGCAGTGAGCCAAAAACACAGTGTAAAGCAGAAATAGACCCAGAGCCAGCCCTCCTTTGAAGGCAGCTTCGCGCTTGATTTTCCCTTGATCGGGCGATTCCACAGCCCCCTCCAATGAGTTCTGATCAGCGCCTCGGGCTGGCAGCAGAGCCGGTCCC